GATAAATGACTTCTCAACTTGGGGTCAATAACTAAGTGCCAACCTTATTCAGCCATGATTGAAGGCATTCACTCGATGGCATGAACAAATACCCGGATCTACGTAATGCTTTACCTACTATAACGACTTAAGTAAATATTCAACAAATGTCACGGGCCAACCGCAATGATGATAAATGGAAAACACAGCGACTCCAACTTTTGCTGATAGTTGATATTATATCACGCCAATAAAAATGCTTGAACAGGTCCGATATGAGGACTTGTGAAAGTACATAAATAGCAAGTACAAAAACCAATGTTATCTGAATTTTAAATGAAACGTTGTGCACCCAGTTACCTAAAAGGTACGACGACTACTAAGGTAAGATAGCACATAAGAGTAAGACTAAAAGTAATAAAGTAGAATTCTCGGACGTTTCGCGGGTGTTGTATGGGCGATGGGTAGTGCAATCTGGACCCGGGAAGGCAGGTTAAGAGAAATTGCACCGCACATCACCACCACAGCAACCGTAAAGTTAAGAGATAAGCAAGGAGACAGTCCTACCTAAAGGTTATGGATAATTAACTTGCGCCCGGCGTCGTAGGTGAAGTGATGGGCAACGAAGAGCTCGCTGGTTATAAAGGCACGCACTGAAGGAATGTTAACTTGGCGTGCGCGATCCAAGAGCTCCTGCTCCGAGACCTCCACCTGTAACGATGTCTCGGCTACCCCCGCAGCAGCAGCGTGACGCGAACGTTCAAATGCCGAGTGCTCGTGCACTAACTGCTTCAGCAGGAACAACAACAACTCTTGGTTGTCTCGACGGTAGCTCAGAAAACGGGAAAACTTCTGTTGAAGACAATAAAATCAACGGAGGGCAATTATGACTCAGCAGCTTGACCGAGCCATGAAACGACGCAGGAAGACAAGGTTCCAGAACTCTAAACTGTACAACTGCCATCCTTGAGCCATACATTCGTTGATATTGTTTGTATAGTTCGTAACATTATTGATCCCAAATACCTTGTATTTCCTATTCCCTAAAGTGGACATCCCTGTCGATATTCAAATAAACAGTTATTTAAATCATTCAATTGTTAATGGTAGTCACCGAAAATAAGTCATTCTACTAAATTTAACGCAAATATTGTCTCGATGTGGGATTTTCATCACCCTAAGTTTCAATTAAAAAGCTGTGGTGATATATTTGACTCTTTGATTTAACAAAAGAAGAGTGCACAAAAAACTCAACCATTGCCTTATCTCCATCAACGATGCAGCTCCACAGGAGAAAATCGGCTTCAACCGAAAAGCAGGCGGCAGTAGCCGAATTACCCCATGAAGGGAGAGATAGACGAGTTAAGCTTACATTACAGACGAATGAGACCCGAATTTTCGGATTTCTACGTTTATAGAATGTCCGGCCTTGGGAAAGTAGCATTGACTTCATAACTTTAACCAAGCAGGTAAGCGAAGTACTTGGACATGGATATGAGAAAGCCTCTAACCTGACGCATGGTCTTCATGATGCCATACTTCTGCGTCGAGACAAATGACTCAAGAACAATGCGTAGAGCCATATTTACATCGTCCTCGTTCACATACTCCCGAAGGTGCATGCGCGCATGAGCCTCAGAGAGGCGTACAACCGACTCAATATGACGCACAGTGATGGGAATGCTGCCTGTAGCCATCGACTCCCGACGCAGATCAGCGTAGGCCTTCGCTACTTTATCCTGGTCCATCTGATTCAACTTCGGATGCACTCGATCCTTCGCATACATTATGTACTTCTTCAGCAGATCCTTTAGGGCGACAAATTTGATAAGCAATGCAACAACCGAAAAGTGCAGCATAAATTTAACAAGAGAAAATGTCCCAGTGATTCGCCCACCAACCGGATATAGTCGAGCTAAAAGCTGGAGCTCCGCACCTCAAGGCGTAACTAACCTGCCGCAGGGGCTCACGATCACCGACATTACCGTCGACACTTCCCATTGTCGCTCCCAAGCCAGCGAGCTGAGTTACTAGTGTTTCGGACTCCTCGAGACTCAGGTTAGGATGATGCCGCATGTGACTGCCCACCACAAACTTGGCCAGCATCTCATCTTGTACTGAGTCCACGGTGTCCCGAACAACACATAACACGTCGAAACGACTCAAAATGGGCTCGCTCAGATCCACGTTATCAGCGAATGTCAGACTCGGGTCGTAGCGTCCCCCGATGGGGTTAGCGGCTGCAATGACGGAACACCGAGCTTGGAGACTCGTAACAATGCCTGCTTTGCTAATGGAGATGCTTTGCTGCTCCATCGCCTCGTGAATGGATGTTCGATCTTGGTCATTCATCTAGGCGAAGAAAAAAGGTTCCTCAAGAGTCAAAAGCATATCCACAGGGAAAAAAATGGATGAAACTAAAAACTGACTTTATCAAACTCGTCAATAAGACAAACACCTCTATCAGAGAGAACCAGAGCCCCAGCCTCGAGGGTCCACTCCTTCGATGTAGGATTCCGAGTCACATAGGCGGTTAACCCAACGGCACTGGCCCCCTGACCGGTGGTAAAGACACACCGCGGAGCAAGCTGCTCCACACACTTGAGAAACTGAGATTTCGCAGTACCAGGATCACCGCAAAGGAGGACGTTAATATCGCCACGAATCTTGTGCTTTTCACCAGGATTCTTAGCCTCACCACCGAAGAGGGCGAGTGCAATACCCCGCTTTATGTCATCGTGACCGTAGATGCTCGGTGCAATGGAGGCAAAAATGCGCTCAGCAATTCTCTCATCTCGAGACAACTTTGTGATGGTCTTCACGTCCTCGTCGGTGAGACTTCCGAGCACAAGTTTGTCCTCCTTGCGGATGACGTTGTTGGCGTGAATAACGGTAGAAAACACAGGAAAGCCTGTTTGTACGTTTAATGAGCCGCTATAGTTGTTCGTATAAATGCCAGTGAGCTCCTACAGTCAAAAATTTTGGTGAAACTTCATAACCTACAACTTCGTCACCAGGTTTACAGCTGTCAACCAAATCGCCAAGAAGGATGGCATCTTTGGAGCGCGGAAGTCTTCCGGGAGGTACCTTACCAGGACTTTCTTGAATAGTTATCCTTTGATAGTTTTTGTAAACAGTCTGAAAAAATGAATTAAGCACTCAACTATACCTTTTCGAGATTGATTTCAAAAGGCCCAGTTGACTGACACTCTGAACAGAGAGTGGGTTTAACCTCATTTGAAAGTTGGTTTTGCACAAATGGACCGATGACACAAGAACACTTCACACAGTTATATCGTACTACACTGAGTTGTGGCATAACACTGCTTGCACTGGTTACGACTCCGCTAGTACGCACCAGCTGGTTTAAATGAAGGTGGCGAAGACTCCTCAGATCCTCGATTAACGGAAGATCAACAATGCGGACATTGACATGACTGCTTATTCTGTCGTATCGCGGGTACCTGGCAAGAGTCACTTCCAAAGCACCTTCATTAAATATCTCCAACACGTGGAAAGGCGCTTCAGGCAGGAAGTAAGCGAGTACCTGTTCCGCTGCAGCCAAATGCTGATAATCCACGGAGAGGCACTGTCTGTTTTCACGAGCCATTTGAACGATGCGCTCAGCGTATACATTAACGCCGTGTTCATCAAGAAAGGTGCGTAAGAACGATTTAAACCGATTTTTTATTTCCTGTCGCGTAGCTGGTTGCTGGACCCACTCATTGACAGCCATCCCATGCATATCCTCTAGATTTTCGATGCTTTCCAGAGCTTCCTCATAATCACCAGAAGGCTCCAGGTCAAGACCAGAGGCAACTCGTTCGGCAAGACGACGACGCCTAGCTGGAATTTCTTCCTCCTCGTCAACACCGTACAAGTCTTTAAAAATGTGAGACCTTTAGGGTGATCAAACATTACCAGCAACTAAGCCACGACGAAGAACTCCTGTGGCCAGTGCTTCAGCGCGATCCCGATCTCGCATAGCACGTTCAGCCTCAGCCCGGGCTGTTGGTGACATGCTTGAGTAGTCATCTGTGCTAGCCAAACCCTCAGGCTCATAGACATCGAGCTCAGGAATTGGTCTATAAAAGACATAAAAAAACCAAACATTCATTTACCGATAGTCTCTTTCCATGTCATCGCGAAAAAGGTCTTCACCTTCAGATTCCTCCTGGACATCATCTTCATCACCAAGGATGGCAGCCGACTCATCTTCAAATGGTAAGTCCTCATCAGGTGATCCATTTTCATGATCCCGAGCAAGACTTCTTGAGGACGAACGGTCACTCTGGATAGCTAAGGCTAACAAACTGGCAACATACCGACATTACAGAGAGCCTGCAGAAATACGCTACTACTCAGCACTAGCAACAATGACCCTGAGCTGATTGGTCCATTCATAGTTTAAAGAAAGCCCGGGTAAAAGAGTTATTTAGATGAAAACAGTGCATTTATTCTTATTAAATGCAAAAAGTCGCGAATTATGAGGTGGACGCCCATCCGTTGCATTTATTGATAAGATCTTTTCCAAAGCATTAACCCTCAGTTATAAAACGTAGCAACGTAGTCACCTTAAAGTCTAATGAGTGCTTTCCTGTCAGCTGAAGTTGATCTGAGGATCTTCGCTAGGCACTGCCGACGTTGGCCTACCCATCATTAGGTCAGTGACTTCGATTTGCTAGCGACTGAAGAAGCGCTAAGCCAGTTCGGAACATTGTTTTGAGGATAAGAAATTGAAATTTAGTTCCTCGGGATCATCTGCTGTGCCTGGTAGCTGCCGGGATGACTAAAATCATAACCCTTAACTGACTTGCTAACAAGAGATCTTTAAGAAGATAAGCTGTATAGTTATAGTGTGATGTATTCAATTTTCCTTCCTCTACTTCTGGTTTACGCCCTTAGAAAAGTCGGATAGGTTTAGGGCGGTTGTAGCGCCCCAGAATTCCCATTTGGCATGACTTGAATGAAAACATTAAGCAGCTAGAAAGCGTGTGGATGGGCTTCGGCACGGTCTGATTCCCGACTAACCCGATAGAAGTAAGACGGCCTTTAAGAGCAATCACCGTTCATACAGACAGTGGAATAAACAGTGTTACAGAGATCTCCCATTATGTGATCTTAATATGACCTTAAGGCTACGACTCAGTAAAAGTACAACCA